ACAGCGGCGCCGCCAGCCCCGCGTGCTCCCCCCGCCGAGGCTGGGCCGCCGGGACGCGGAGCGGCCGGGCAGACAGCGAGCCGCGGGCCGGCGGAAGGACGCGCGGACCGCGGTGCAGGGATCCGCCTGCCCGCCCAGGAGTCGCCGGCAGGTGAGGGCGCGCCGTCCGCGCTGCCTTTCAGACCCCGGCGGCCCCGGGCGACGGGGCGATGGCCACAGACCCCTGCGGGGGTGGGGGTGGGGGTGGGGGGTCGCAGGGCGCGAGCGTCTAGGTGCCTGGCCGGAGGGGTGCTCGTCCGGCAGAGTGTCCTTGCGCGTCTGTTTGTGGCGCGGGCTGGGTGGCTCCCTGGGAGCGTGTGCTCGGGGTCCCGGGGGGCCGCTCTGGGCCGGCGGGGGTTGGGGGCGGGGACGGCGTGCGCGAGTTTGGAGCCCCTGCAGTCGCCCCGCTGCCATCCCTGGGCGATTGCGTCGGATCCTGTGTGGCTGTGTGTGTATAAGCTGCGTGTCACAGGGCAGGGCTTTTCCCTGGCATCTCGGCGCACAGCGTGCCCAGGGTCTGGGGAGCCTTTGGTGTCCGATGTGTTAGGGGCGTCAGCGTGCAGGTGCCCCAGAGGGCTCTGCTCATTCTGCCAGATGGTGGCCGAGACACCGTCATCGTGGGTCTGTGTGCCCTGTGCGTGTACCGGGGTGTTTGGGACGCTGGCGTGCTGTGTTTATTGCAACAGCGTGTTGGTTGGGGCGTTGCTGGGTACGGGGTGGGGGGGGGGGTGCTCTTGTGTGTCAGTGGGTGAATGTTTGTGCGCAGATGGCAAAGTGATGAAAAGCCCCCGATGTTCCTGCCAAGGCTGCTGTGAAGGGCTGTGGCACCGGGGTGCCTGGGGCGGGTGGGGGAGGCAGGTGGCAGGCTGGCGGCCTCGGCGGGGATTTCCAGCTCCTCTGGGGCTGCTCGCGAGTCTGCAGGGGTGAGCCCTGCAGGGCGGGCGGGACCCAGCTCCCTCCTCCTCTCTCCCCCCCCCCCCCCACCTCCAGGCCCAGGGCCCAGGCCAGTGCCCAGCCCCGCTGGGAGCCCCGGCCAGCACCACGGACGGCGCCCAGGAAGCCCGAGTCCCCCTGGACGGGGCCTTCTGGATTCCGAGGCCCCCGGCAGGCTCCCCGAAGGGTTGCTTTGCCTGCGTGTCCAAGCCCCCGGCTCTGCAGGCTCCAGCGGCCCCGGCCCCTGAGCCCTCGGCATCGCCCCCCATGGCGCCCACCCTGTTCCCCATGGAATCCAAGAGCAGCAAGACGGACAGCATGCGGGCCTCTGGCGCCCCCCAGGCCTGCAAACACCTGGCCGCGAAGAAGACCATGACGAACCCCACAACGGTCATCGAGGTCTACCCGGACACCACCGAGGTCAACGACTACTACCTGTGGTCCATCTTCAACTTCGTCTACCTCAACTTCTGCTGCCTGGGCTTCATTGCGCTGGCCTACTCCCTCAAAGTGAGCCAGGCGGGGGCGCGGGGGGGGGGCAGAGGAGCGGGTCCCGGCAGGTGGGGGCCGCCTCGCGGGATCCGGAGACACGTGGATGCTGGCCAGCTCTGAGCCCGCAGGGAGGGGCTGCCCTCCCCATCCTGGGCTGCGGAAGCTTCCAGGGCGTCTTGACAGGGCTCGGGGGCCGCAGGACTGGGTTCTCTACACAGCCAGCTTAGTCCTCAAGGTGCAGACTCGGGGCTCGGTCTGTCCTCTGGGCCGTGGGAATTACACTCAGATGTAGCTGCCCCTGGGCACGCGGGGGGTGGGGGGAGCCAGCACACAGATGCAGACCCTCCGCACCCTTCCCGTGTCAGCAGGAGGACAGCTCGGGCCCCTCACAGGGGGACCTGAAACCAGGCAGACCTTCAGAAGGAGGCCACGGTAGCCGGGGTCTCCGACCACGGTGGACAAGGTCACTGCTTTCTGCCTTCCTTCCCCCACACTCTTTCTAGAAGTCCGTCCTGGCGGCCGGGGAGGGGGTTGGGGTGTCCAGGGGGAGAGAGGCATGACCCCAAACCCTGAGTGCGCACAACTTTGGGAAGCCCCTGACTGCTGGGAGAGGAGCCGGCTGGGAGCAGAGCAGGGTGCCAGGCAGACAGGACCCCACGTCCCTGGGGCAGAGGGGAAAGAGCAGGAAGGGGCCTGTGACCCACTCACATCTGAGGTGAGGAGCCCCGTGCAAGTGTGTAAGAACTGAAGAGCCAGGGCTGTTGGAACCCAAGCAGCAGGACCCGCCTCCCTGTCACTCCGGACGGGTTTGGCTCCTGTAGAGTCAGAGGTCACTGTCCCTGGATTCGCGTGTCCGAGGCCAGGTGCACATCACCGACTGCAGCTGCCCGGTGAGGTGGGGGCAGGGGGGTGGGCAGCGGTGGGATGTGGGGCTGCAGGGAGAGGAGGGTCTGGGCCAGGGAGGCTGCGGGGGGGGGGAAGGACAGCAGCTTCCTCTGCTGTCTCTGCCTCTGCGCATCTTCGAGCCCCACCCCTGCCCCTGGCATCACATGCTCCAGCCGCCTGGCTCTCCCGACCTCCTGACTCTTCGTCAGCGTCCCCCACCGCCAGGCACACCTTCGCCCCCAGGCTGGTGCACGGAGCTCTGGGCCTCTGCCATGTGGGGCCTGTGTGGTGTGAATGAGTGTGTGTGAGTGTGCATGGATGCACGAGCGTGTGTGCCCACGTAGGTGTGAATGCGCATGTGCACAGGTGTGTAGGTGTGGATGTGTAAGTGTAATTGCATGTGTGCATGAGTGTGTGGATGTGAATGCGTGTGTATATTTGTGCACGTGAGTGTGTTATGTGTGGGCTCGCGTGTGTGCATGTGTATAAGTGAGTGTGCGTGTGTATGGGTGTGCATATGTGTGCGAGTGTATACAGGTGTGGGTGTGCGTGTAATTCATTGCATCGCGTGTGCGTGCGTGAGTGTGCATATATTTGTGACTGTGCGGGTGAGTGGTACGTGACTTTGTGCGCATGTGTGCGTGCGTGTGCCTGTGTGTGCTGTGAAAGCACACCGGAAAGGGCCCCTGGGGATTAGGGGTGAAGGCCCCCAGGCCAACCCCAGCTCTGGCCCCAACGGAACAGTGCCAGGCAGAGGGCACCGTGGTGGGGGCAGCTGGTGACGCTCTGCTTCCCCTGGGGCCCTCTTGCCGTGCCCTGACGATGGCCTGTGGACACGGGTCCGGCCGCGTGGGCTCCTGTCCGGAAGCTGTCCCCCCCCTTCCCCTTGGCTCGGCTGTGGGCGCCGGCTGGCACAGGGCAGGCCCATCTGGTGCAGGTTGTAGGTAGGTCACAGACTTCTGAATGGTGCAGGATTTGTGCTCTGACGGGATGGGCAGGAATTGGTCCTTCTGAGAGGGGGAAGGGAGATCACGCTGCCTCCACCCCGGGGCTGCTCCCCCACGTCCTTCCTGGGGGACAGCCAGGGCAGAAAGGCCCGGGGCTTCTGGGGAAGGAGTGTGCAAGGTGAGCTGTCTCTGGCCTGGGCAGAGGGGGTGCAGGAGCGGCGGGCTCGGGCTCCTGCACCTGGGAGCTTGTCCATCTGTCCATCCAGCTGTCTCCTGGCCTGCTGCACCCGACGCTATTTGCAGCCAGTCATGGGCACTTCCAAGGGCGCCTAACGGACTTGGGGTCAGAAGGCCTTGGCTGAAGTCCCAGCTTGGTCCCTCAAGAGGGGTGAGCTCTTCACAAACCACCTTCCTCTGAGCTGGTTCCTGTGTCTGCTCACAAAACAAACAGAAATGAAAACAACTCCCAAGTCAGCACGTGTGAGCGGGGCAGAGGCTGGCATTCGGTGGGTGTGAAGCAGACATTGTGTCCCTGTCACGGGCGCCTGTCCATCCGCTGTCTCCCCCACGTGGGCCCGTTCCCTTCGATGCCAGCTGGGTCTGCGACACTCCCCTGCCCCAGGCATGGTTGCCCACCCAACCAGACCCATCCCTCCATCTTGCTGTCACCAGTGCCGAGGCAGGGCTGGCCACTGTAGGGGTCAGACAGGGCTGTACGAGGGGGTAGGTGGACAGAGGGCACCTGCAAGGTGGAGTAAGTGTCACGGTGTTTCAGAAAAAGAATATTTCCTTCCTGGTTTGGGGTGAGTTTGGAGTCCAGAGTGGGAGACTTCCAAGAGGAAGCATCATCTTCACTGGGCTCTGAAGGGCAGGTGAGGTGACAGGTGTTCCAGATATAAACTAGGACATGAGGGTGGGGCGATCTGGGGGGAACTGCAAGGCCCCCATATTCTCTGGGGGCGAGACGACAGTCCTGGAAAACCAGACTGAGGCCATGCAGTGAAGGATTTGGAAAAATATGTGAGGGGTTTGGATGTCATCATGTGGAAGACCCAGAAGGGAAGATATGACCAGAGCTATGAAATCTGCAGCCGGTGTGAAGGAAGAGGATGAGAGAAGCCCCAGGGCAGAGAAAAGCTAGGGTCCCAGTGTGGTGTCCAGGAAAGGGGGCACATGGCCTGAACCAGGGCAGGGATGGTGGGCAGGAGACGAGGAGCAGATATAATGATATGGTGGTTATTCCATGTGGGCCCAAGAGGTTGTGGACTTCCCAGTGACAGGGAAGTCAAAAAAAATGATTGGGGGTATTGTGTCAATTTTTGTATATACATATTTGCCCACTACCTGCTTTCTGAATGTCAACAGCATCCACCCATCTACCCACCCATCCATCCATCCACCATCCATTCACCCACCACCCATCCATCCATCCACCACCCACCCATCCATCCATCCACCACCCACCCATCCACCCATCCATCCACCCACACGCTCATCCATCCACCCACACATCCATCCATCCATCCATCCAACCAACCATCCATCCATTCATCCACCATCCATCCACCCACACGCTCATCCATCCATCCACCATCC